AGAAAGAAAAAGGAGTGGGGTGGGTGGAGGCAGAAGACTGAAGGTATTGACAAGGTTTTCTTTCTTTTTTTCACATGCACCCATATTAAGGGAATTAATTTAACCCTCCCCCCCCCCAAAAAAAAGCATCAAAGGAACAGAGTCTGATTCATCCCTTTTTGCAATTCCCTTGAAACCAGAGCAATGTGTTTGTTACCAAACCATCTTCCACTCTGGGAGACAGATAAGAAAGAAAGGTCTACTAGACCAGAGCAAGGAGGATCAGATACTTGAGTTAAGGTAGAAGAGGTTAATTGGGAACTACAGCTCCCAGGCTCACTTAGCCAACATAACTAGCTCTCAGCAGCCTTAAGACTTCTTCTGTGAGTATAGCCAACACCTTTGTGAGCGGACGGATTCTAGGAGATCATCTGAAAAGCATATTGTTTGTTGGGGCGCATCTACACTGTAGAAATAATGCAGTTTGACACCACTTTAACTGCCATGGCTCCATCCTACAGAATCCTAGGATTTGCAGTTTTCTGAGGAACCAGCACTCTTTGGCAGAGAGGGCTAAATACCTTGTACTAGAAATCCCAGGGTGCTATAGGACGCTGCTACAGCACTTTAAGTGGTGTCAGACTGCATTATTGCTACAGTGCAGATGCAGCTTTCATTTGTTTTTGTTCATTTATATCCCATCGTTTCTCTGGAATGGGAGCCAAGGTGACTCACAACATGAACTAAAAGGAAGCTATGTGAATTAATAGGCCAAAGAATAATCCAGGTCATAGTATTGCTAATTTTTGTGTGCTGGTATGAAAGCAGGACGGTGAAGAAAGGTGCAGATAGTTCTGCAAATGCCACAGACAGCTAAAAAGACAGATTAATGGTTCCTATCGGAAATCAAGCCTGATCTTTCATTTGAAGTAAATATGACTACACTGAGGCTATTGTGTTTGGGACATACTGTGAGATGATGTAACTCATTGGAAAAGATGATAATGATTGACAAATTGGGAGGCAGGAGGCCCTGCGGAATAGTTTCATATTTTGCTTGGCTGTTCAAGGTTGAAAAAAAGACACGTGGCGGAGTACATCAGCTACCAAATTGTTATCATGTGCCTTCAAGTCAACTGGGACTTATGGTAACCGTCTCC